GATACCCTGAATGTTATCGCGAAGCACCTTTCTGTGCCTCTTAGCACCACCCTTGCCCAAACCCTTTCCACCTTTTCCACGGCCAGACATCTTTTCAAGATATTTTTGCTATAAACACCAAGTTAGGGATTTGAAGTTTAGGTTTCGATTGAACTGATAATGCATAGAGATTGGAGTATTTATTGGAGCGGGAAGAGGGAGTTAGCGTGTTTCAAAAGTCTATCGCTAACGTTTGATTTAAATAAATCTACGGTCCTACTTTGCGATCCGTGGGTTGATGCACAGACAATTATGGAACGTCGATAAAAGTATTTCAACGGTCAGATTTTGTTTTATAAGGTGTGTGCGGATTGCAACTTGTTTTGCTTTTTCTCCACTGCCAAATTTGAGTTGCGCCCTTTTTAAAAGTTTTAAAAATGAAAACTGAGTTTTAGATTAAAAAAAAACTTATATCAATATAAATCATTTAATATACATATATATATATATATATATATATATATATATATATATATAAAGTATGTAACAATGTATATTAACATTTCTTATGAACATTCTCGATGCAAGAAACACCTAAGGCCTTTTTTTTAATAAATTATTATTCTTTTTTAACAAATATAATGATGAATAAAGTATGTAAAAGAAAATAATATGTGTACATATGTATTAGTGAAAATCCAATTTTATCATTTACATTTTTTTATTTTACACATATTTATACATATAATATAAATAATTTAAATTTTTATTTTAATGTGTATTTATGGTTAGGAAACTAACAAGTTTTTTCTAAACTTTTTAATATTTCAATTAATTGATCAAGAGAACTAATTAATTAATAAAGAGAAACTGAAACTTATATTGTAGGCATATTAGTGTATGATGCAACGAACATTAAGTAATTTTTCATTAAAAATAAATTGATATGCTCTCCTAATTTAGGACAACATTTTACTATTTTTTTCTTTCGAAATTTATGTTCTTTTTTACTCTCATTCAATAGTCATCCTCAATTTCTCCACTCTCGGTTTTCACCATATCCCCAGTTGCTTCCGAATTCATCTGTTTTACTCAATTAAAGCTGAGAAATTGGTGCTCCTTCCTTGTCAAGATGAACACAATTTTTCTGATCGGCAATTTTTTTTTTCTGCAAGACACGGGTAAGAAAAGGGAGTAGACAAGTTTTAAAAGAAAAAGAGTTAAAGTGTTACTCAAACTAAATTTGTGTATTTGTTATGTTGTCTATTTTCTTGTTTTTTACTAAAATAATGTCTCATTATATTAAAATTAACATTATATTAAAAATAACATTTATTTTTTGAGTGAAGTGAGTCTTTCTAATTTTTATAGTCAATATTTGAATAAGTTTAAATATGTGAAGTGTGTGATCATTTTCTTTAATAGTGAACAATCTTAAAAATATCGAAAAAGAGTTGATGGTATTAAGATTGGTAAAACTCTTGGATTTTCAGATTCAAGATAATTAAGAATGGGAGTATCATTTGAGGTGTACTAAGGGTTTTTATGATTAAGAAATAAAGATATTAGTTGTCTTTAGGTTTCAAGATTTAACGGATGTGTTAATAAGTGAGCTTGAAAATCCTGGATACAAGGCTACACAAGAAGCCAAGAAGTACTTGAAGAATCTTCAAAAACTACACAACAATGTTAGATTTCTCATTTATTATTGTGTTGGACTGATGATCTTCAACAAAATTTTTAAAGCTACAACAATGAAAGAGTGTTGGGAGATTTTGTTGAAGACTTATGGAGATGGAGACAAGAACAAGAATGTCAAAATGTAAATCTTAAGAAGACAGTTTGAGCCTCTTAACAAGAATAGACTCTTTAAGTTAGAACAGTCCAAAGGAAAAAAGACAATGCCTTAAAAGTAAAGAAACACATTCAAAAAAAGAAAAAATTAGATGAGAAAATAGGTGATACTTTCAAGAATAAAAAAGATCACAATAATCAGCATAACATCTTAATAATGATAAAGAAAGAAAGTTTGACAAGAAGAAGATGAAGTGTTACAATTGTTAAAAGTATGGTCAATTTACACATGAATACTGGGATGATGAAGGTACCAAGAACAAGCCAAAGAACTAAGCTAATTTAGCTTAAGATGATGTTTCTTCAGATTTTGATCTTATGATGTTAATGACAAAAATTAGTGATATAAATTCAGAAGAAATATTTTCTTGGTACATTGATTCAGAATGCTCCACGCATATGATTGAGAGAAAAGATTAGTTCATCAAGAATAATGATGTGTCTCAAGGCAAAAATAAATTTGTCAACAATAGCAGTCTCAGTACAGAAAATGTTGGATGTGTAGTGTTGAATGATCATAATGATATGAAAATCATTGTTGATAACGTGTTGTATGTATCAGATTTGAACAAACTTGATGAGTCTCAAACAGTTTTTGCAGAAAGGATTTGTCATGGAAATGAAGAAGAATGGTTTGATTGTATATGACAAAAACCATGAATTAATGGTTCATGCAAATCTTTCTGAAAACATAACCTACCTTCTCTGTTAGTATGAATGCACGAAGACATAAATGTTTTGTTACTACAGATAATAGGAGTGAGTGATTATGACATAATGAATTTTCAGCAATTACACAAGTTTAGTCCCCAGAATCTAATTATTGAACTCCCCTTAATTGTGATTCAAAAGAAAGTTTGTAGAGAATGCATTCAATGCAAGCATGACAAACAAAAGTTCAAGAAATTTGGGGTTGACAAAGCAACTGAGAAGCCTGGTATGGTGTACTCTGATGTTAGGTTGAAACACTTGATGGAAATAGGTATATTGTTACTTTTGTAGATGATCTCACAAAGAAAATGTGGATTTATTTGTTAAGAATGAAAAATGAAGTATTGTTTGTGTTTCAAAAGTTTAAAAGAATGGTCAAAAGGCATAGTCAAAGCAAGATAAAGGTGTTGCGATTTGATGGTGGAGGCGAATATGCCTAGTCGAATTCAATGTCTTTTGTGAGAAAGAAGACATCATCCATAAGTTTACTCCACCATACACTCATGAACACACAACGATACAATTGAGTGTCAAAATCGAACTTTACTAAATATTATATATTGTATGTTGAAAAACAAGTTTTTGCCATATTATTTTTTAGGTGAAGTAGTTGTCATTATTGCACATGTGTTAAACAGGTCTCCAACCAAGTGTTTGGAGAGATGTCAAGTCTGATTTAACACACCTGAAGAGGTTTGGATAGGTGTCAAGTCTGATGTAACACACCTTAGGATATTCGGTTCAGTGTGTTATAAGTATGTATTTGAGTAGTTGAAAAAGAAACTTGATAATAAAAACACACCACAAATTTTGGTTGGTTATCTCAAAACAGTTATCAATTAGTAGGGATGTTTTTATTGATAAGTCAATCAACTGGACGTAGACAGTCACCAAGAGAATTCAAATGCTTTCAAAGTATTATTTGAAGTTAAAAATTCAATGGAACAGAATAAACATGTTGATCATGGTACCAGAAGATCATCCGGAGTTACACAACTCTCATATCATTTTTGTGATTATGAAGTGTTTAGTAACTCAGTTGTGTCAGCATAGGAAAATCTAGTGCATTTTGCACTTTTTGCATAATATGAGCAAATTATGTTCGAAGAAATAGCTAGAGAGGTTCAATGATTGAAAGGTATGTATGAAGATATTGATTTAATTGAAATGAATAAAACTTCGGAGTTTATTGAGTTGTCACTAGACAAGAAATCAATCACACTTAAGTGGATTTATAAAATGAAAGTAAATATAAAAAGTGAGATTATAAGATACAAAACAAAATTTGTAACCCAAAGTTTCTTGCAAAGAGCTGGAATAGATTATGATAAAATTTATACGTAGATCAAACCATCGTATTGGTGGTTGTTATTGCCACAAATACTAATTAATTTTTATACCAATTAGATGTTAAATCAATTTTTCTGGATGATTCTCTTAAAAAAAAAGTTTATATGCAGTAGGCTAGGAGTTTGAACATAAGAGTTAAAAGCATAAAATATATAAGTAAAAAAAAACCTTATATGAATTTTAGCAAGCATAGCATGATGATTTACTTGAGAAAATTGATTTTGCTAAATATATGTCTAAATATAGACTCTATGTAACAGTTTTAGAGAACATAATGTTTATGATTACAAACATATGATCTTTTTAACTTGATGCAAGACTGAATTTCAAAAGAAGTTTCGTACTAATGACTTGGAAAATCTAAATTATGCACTTAAACTTTATTAACCTTCCTTGTAAAACAATGAGAAACAAGTAAATACAACTCAGCCCTCAGTCGAATATATTACCAGGTTCATCAAATTCAATTTTTATTAAAGTGAATAAGAATTCAAATAAAATAGAAAATAGGATAGAAACTTTATTATCTCGTCAACAAATTTAAACCACAACCTTTATATTTTGGATTTCTAATGCCTGCCATTTTTTTGTGCCAGAACCCACTATGACTACTTCACCACAGTTACCTTTTCATCACGATTACCACTACCCAATTTCCAGACTTTGTAATCCATGTAAAAAAGCAACTTCATCCAACATGGCAAAATCAGATAAAAATACAAACAGTTTGAATGCGCTTCTAAAATGTTATATGGTAGGAAGTAGTTTTTACTTATAGGAGCATCACCAAAATAAGATTGAATTTGGCACTGTAATTCATGTACGCAATTAAATATCTCATATTATGCTTTGGTACGGCCTTATGATGAAAGGCTTCTTATTGCAACTTCGGGATTGTATTTTACAAGCTAGCACAAACAATGCAATTCTGAAATCCAAGATTCATTGAATAGACAGAGTAGGAAAAGGTTGAATCATTAGTTTCAATAAAAATTCGACATTCCATATAAGTTACGAAACTGGACATGTTGCCATGTCACAAATAGAGCCCTAAGTTTACAACCATCTATAAGAACATACTTATAGAAAACAGAACGAATAACTTTTCAGCCTCCAAAACCATAGAGGGTCCTTCCCTGCCTCTTGAGAGCATAAACAACATCCATGGCAGTAACAGTCTTCCTCCTAGCGTGTTCAGTGTAGGTCACAGCATCGCGAATCACGTTCTCCAAGAATATCTTGAGCACTCCTCTGGTTTCTTCATAGATCAAACCGCTGATTCTCTTGACGCCACCTCTTCTAGCCAATCTACGAATTGCAGGCTTTGTGATGCCTTGAATGTTATCTCTGAGCACCTTCCTGTGCCTCTTGGCGCCTCCCTTTCCCAAACCTTTCCCACCCTTTCCACGACCAGACATCTTGCGAAGAGAATTTTCTATGAACTCAAATTTAGGGATTTGGTTTGATGTGTTGGATTCAAATGCGATGGACGTGGAAAGAGAGATGGGAGTATTTATTGGAGCGGGAAGACGGAGCTGACGTGTTTTTAAAATCTGATATCTATCGTTGGATTTTTAGTTAATCGACGGTTCACGAGCGCGATCCGTGGACTGCTAAAAGACAATTGGGAACGTTGATAAGAAAGTTTTAATGGTCAGATATTGTTTCGTAAGATATGTGCGGATTGGGTCGAGTTTCGTGGCTGCTGCTCCTTTTTTTTTATGTGATAAACTGGGATAAAAATAAAACAAAAATCAATACGTTAAACAAGTGTTTTTTTGTCATTAAACTACATATCTGGGAGGTGCAAGAGGAAATGAGATAGGTGTAGGAAAAAGATCCCTGGAATAGTTATTGAATTGAATAAGCCCAAAAGAACGAAGGCTACGAATTACTACTACGACCCACCAAACAAATCAATTCATATTTCGATTATTTCTCAAACAACTTTTACAATTTAGATTATTGGAAGTTACATATTTACGTATTTTTAAATTTGATTAAAATAAAAATACTTTATTTTAATATTACTATAGTCAACATTATTATGCCCATCTAATTCAATTTGTTTTAATTAAAGAGTTTAGCCTATTTAACCCAATAATTTTATTGTGTTATTGAATGATTTTTACTAAATTTAATTAAATAAAACACTCAAATATTTTATGACCATTGGTCCACTTTACTATGTAACATCTTTAAAAAAAAAAAAAACTCGTGTAATTGCATGGCTCGAAATTTTTCATTATCATCAAAATCAAACTATGATGATTTTGCCAAACAAAATTCAGAAAATTCAAATGTTATATTCATTGTGGGTTGTTTTATTATTCTTTGATGTTTAGCACAGAGTTAGAGTCTATGCATTTAATAATCTCTTTAAATTTCTCATACTTTCTCTCACAATAAATAAGAGAAAAGAATTATGAATTTTTAAGGAGAATTGTTTAAGAATAAAATTGAATATTTTATTATGAATCTTATAGTTGAATTGTTTAAAACATGGTAAGAGTGATTTATTCAAGTAACTTGTTTCCAATTTTAAGTAATTTTCTTTACTTTTAAGTAGGGATGACAAAACAGATCAGACTCAGCGGATTGGTCCGCTAACCCCCATAATATAGGAGGACAGATTAATGTTTTTAGCCTGCCAGCCCATGTTGGCCTATCCCGCCAAGCCCACCAACCAGCCGGACCAACCCGCGAGTAGGGGCAGGTCAGCCCGTGGCCAACGCTAATTAATAAAAAAATAATTTTGTATTGTAATAAAGTTAATTATAAAGTTAAAAAATTTAAAAAGAAAATTAAAAAAAAATAATTCTCACATAAAATATTCTCCTTACTCAAACACAAAATTTCTCTCTCTGGTTTTCCTTGTTCATCCAAAGCACTGATTATTCTTATATTTATGACTTGAATTAAAGGTGTAAGAATTACTCAAGCGAGAACAATGTGAAGTTTTATCAAATAAAAAAGATATAGGTATTTAAATTTTTCAATATAAAAAATATAAAATTTATAAGTTTTAACGTTATTTATATATATATATATATATTATTTCAATTTAATAATATAAATCAACACATTATTTTAAGAAATTATAATTTAGAACAATAATAAAATTTACATAATAATAAATAATAACAAATATATATATATATATTGAATTATTGACAAATAAATAATAATCTTATTATTAAATTTATTGAAATTTTTGATTTAAAAAAATATATTTTTTTAATTATGGCGGACCAACCCGTCAGCCCGCTAACCTCGCTCCTTGGCAAGGTGGGCCAAAATCTACGATCCATCATGACTATAATAGGTTAGCTCATTCCACTTCCGCTTTTAGTGGACCAAAATAGAAGGGACTGACCCGTTTTGTCCCTACTTTTAAATAATTCAAATGTGATACTCAAAATAAAATATTCACTCTTATTTTTTTATATTTCTTGAAATATATATGTCTGAATTTAAATTTGTTATGAATTTTGTGTTAGCTCTTTAATGAATCTTATGGTTTTTTATTTACAATATATGGCCATTTAGATTTTATTTTTTATTTTTTACTTTTGAAAGCATATTGGTGATGGAGTTGTCTTAAATGTATTAGTAGTATTGTGTACTTTCCCAAGGTTGAAGAAGATAAAAGGTCACATTGAATGTTAATTATGTTACATGTATCACAAAAGGACTTCGTTTCTGCAGCATAGTACAACCCTTGTTTAACCTAGCCAATAATCAATGAATGTGCATCAGTTTCGAAGAGAAATGTAAACAGTCTTCCAATTAAATATATTCAGTGCATCTCTCTAATAAAAAACAAAGAAGAGTGTTCAATCGTGGAAAAAATGGATATAAAAGAGTTGGATAAGAAGTTTCTGGAGTTGGCCACAAAGCTAAAGTGGCAGAGATGTCCCCAGTGCACCATCTTTGTCGAAAATACTGGTGGATGTGAGCATATTACATGCAGGTTTTTGTGTTTTCTATCATTGAACATCAATCTGGTTTTTATATTACTCGCATTCTTTGCATACCAAAGAAAGTATGAGAAATGATTATGTTATTATAGTCCCCACTGTTTTCTTTTCAGGTGTGGATGCAACTTCTGCTACATTTGTGGGAAGAGTTGGGAGTTTGGTCATACATGCAAGAATCGTTCTTCTGTTTGATCTGGATAGAAATCAATGAGTTTTTGAGTTTTTACTAGCACCGTCTTATGTTTTCATACATCAAAATGTCTTTTGTGGTTCTTTCTTTAGATGGGTATGTTTTCTGCTATATGCGAATGTAGTAGTGATGTAGTTGCCATGTTCGGTAGTGGGATTTCAAGTACTGTCATGTTTGAACAGGTTAAATAATACAGAAAGCACGGGGAAATTTGTTTTTGAAATATCTATTTATAGTGTGTAAGCATATATTGTTTGTTTTTTCCCTTCCTTTAAATTTTGAATTTTTCAAAGATGAGTAAATGGGAAGAGGAGAGGAATGATGAGTGGGACAAGTGGAGCAATATGTATTGAATTTATAATAATCTAATTTGCAAAAGGTTGTTGGGAAATGTGGAACCTCGTAGATTCACTTTGTGGACGTAATTCCTGGGTCTCTTTCTTAATTTGTTTTTATTATGTTAACTTGTTTCTTTTGTTCTTATTCAATTTAACGATGCTTCCAATGCATGGTTCCCCCAAAACACATGTCTCGCACGCATTAGACAGCGTGGAGGTGCAATTGATGTCCCCTAATCTCACCTCGGAACACTCTACGGATAATTTCACGTACAATATTTTTATCGCTTTCTATAACTTATCCCCTTCTTAATAATATTAATCACTATTTTTATCTTTTACACAAAAAAAATACAAAGTAACAAAATACATTCTTAAAATAATAAATATTGATTACTTTTTTGTACTCATATTTAAAACAATGTAAAAGTAATAAAAATAAAATTTTACCTTTCTAAAATTTCTTTTTATTTTATATTCTTTCTTTTCAATGTTTTTTAATTTTTTTTGTAGGCTCTTAAGGAAAAATAATAATAACAAAAAATTAAATTTTATTTACCTCTTTACAATGGTTAATGATAGTATAATTTTGAAATATTTTTAATGAAACAACATGGTTTCATTATCAGGTAATCTGCAATTTTATAAAATTTTTCTTATTTTTTTCCATTAGAAAGTATAATTTTCTTGACTTGGATAAATTCTTCACTTATAAAATTTGTGATGAATTTGGAGAGGTGTTGATTTAATTAATAAAGAAAAGAACAAACATTTTGTAAAGGTGGAAAATAATTAAATAAGTTACAATTTTTAGTTTTTACAACAATACAAGTTACACTATTACAACATCTCCAAATAAATAAAAAAGAAATATAGATAACGTTTCTTCAAATATTAGAAAAAAAAAACAAAAAGATAAAAAAAAGTCGTCAAAGTTTACATTTTATATTTTCACCAAACTTTTAGATAATCAGTATTATATTATATTATTTCCATTTTATTGCCTTTTTACTTTTAAATGTAGATAATTATATTGAAATTTATATGTAAAAAATATAATAAAGAGAATTTCAGTGACTAATCGATAAAATAATAAATAATTAAAAGAAATGAATTAAATAAATAAACTAATAAAATAAAGATTAATACAACTAAGTCAATCGGATTTTTTAAATGTTTAATTTTGTATCGATAATTTTTCAAATTCATATTTTTTTAGTATAATACTAAGAATTTATATTAATATTAGACAATTTTTACTTTATTTTATTTGTTTAAAGGCTTTAAATCATTTTGTATTTGTAGTTATTATTGGGTTCAATTATTATTTATTGTACTAAGTAAGTTTTTTTTTTCAAAATATCTAATATGACACATAAATCTATTTAAATGAAAGATTTATTAAAAAATAATTTATTCAATTTAATACATCAGTGAAATTAGATTGACAGAAATGCTCTTAATATCTTTATTTTTTATAAAAAATATTTTAATAACTTATTTAATTATTAATCTATTTATTATTTTTCTTGATATGTGTGAGCAAATTAAAAAAAAAAAGTGTTTTAAAACATTTCATTCACCAATTTCGTAACGTGGATTAAAATTAGATGTACTTGACATTTAAGAGCAGTAAACAAAAATCAATGAAGAGAATAAACTCGTCGCTTATTGAAATTTATACGAGCATTCTCTGTTGAAAGAGTATATTAAATTGCAATTTTTAAGTTTTTCATCATTTTTAATTACGATTTTGTTTTTTATGTTTTTCTGGCAATTTTATTTATCATATTTAAAAAGTTTGTAATTTGTGTAACTGATGAACACCTCTTAATTTTATTAATGTATTTTATATAATTTATTAATATATATTATATATGTATTTAAGTAATGATTAATATTTAATATATACTTTATAAAAAAATAGATAAATATCTTTATATTTAAATTATTTATACTTTTAAATTTAGTATTTGTTTATGTTTTTCTAAAATGATTAATTAAATAAATTATACAAGCTTTATTCCAAAAAAATCACGCTTAAAGATTTTATTTTTTTTTAAATTAAGAAAACTCATTTTTAAATCCAACCATTAATTTTGCAAATAAGACAATCACCGAGTGAATTCATCACAATATTTCAATCATGTAGAAAATAATTTAAGTTATATTATGGATTATAACATTTTAATTTTGTAGAAAGTTATTTAAGTTATATTATTTTTTCATACATCATTGTTATATAAACAAACTTTAAAAGGTTAATAGACAAGTTAAGCTTTTTTTTCAGGCTTTAGATTTAAATTTTTTTCTTTTTTATTATGCTTGTCTTTCAAGTTCGTTAATAAAACTTTTTATACGAATAATGTTTTAAAATTTATCAATTTAAGTTACTTTAATCATATTTATTTCATTTCTCTTTACTTTTTAGTTTTCATCTTATTTTTCCAAATTCACATCATTTCCTATTATGTTTTCATATTTTTTTCTAAATTTTCACTGGTGAGTGATGTTCTAACTCTTTTTTATTATTGATTCACCAATTAATTTTTTTTATGTTTTATATTTGATTTTTAACTATTTAACTATTTAACTGAGTATAATTCATTATAATTAAGATTAATGGATTAAATATCTCATCTAATTATTACAGTTTTATTTATAAATTTAAGTTATTATTTGATTAAAAATTGAATTATGTTTATAAATTTTATTTTGATTAAAATTATTTAAATTATTATAAAATTATTTGTAATTACAAGACAAATTCTAAAAATAAATAATAATCATAAAAACAAATTTATGATTCCAAAATCAACATTCTTTTCTAATAATTTCTTCACTCTTCTTAATTATTTTTACTATATTTCTTCTATGTTTTTTATTTACCTTTTTATTCCAAGAATACACAAACTTGCAAATTTTTTATATAAACAATGAATTTCTTCACTCTTCTTAATTGTTTTTACTACATTTCTTTTATGCTTTTTATTTACCTTTTTATTCTAAGAATACACAAACTTGCAAAATTTTTATATAAACAATAAAATTTAACTCATAAATAAAATTAAATCCTAAATTCTAAATTATTATAAGTCTCATTTTTTATGAGATAAAAAAATATTTTTTTTTCATAAAAATCATAGCATATTATAAGTCTCATTGCGTGCAAATTTAGTTAAATTTATCTATAAAATAAAATAAGTAAAAAAAAAAAAGAATTTTTATTAGATTATATATTGAGTGGCTTTCACTTTTCGCGCTACCATACCTAACATAGCATGATCCCACCACACTCCCTAGTACACTTTTTTCGCACTCACTCATGACTACCAAAACGCACCGTTTCACTACATGTCACCGTCACCCTTTCACACCTGTCACCGGTTTCTGTGCCTCCTGTCTCCGCGAACGCCTCACCGGCATCGACTCCTCCTCCGCCTCGCCAGACCTCCGCCGGACCAAGTCTTTCTCCGACCGAACTACTGGCGCACTCTCCGCCGCCGCCCAGGAGCCCCGCCGCAGGTCTTGTGAGGTCCGACTTCCGCCGCCGCGTGGCTCGCTGTCGGACCTCTTCAATCGCGACGACAAGAGCAAGAAGCTTTTGAATCGGAACGCCGAGAACATTTACGGCACTGCCGGCGTCGGAAGCGGAGAGAACGAGCGCGGCGACGTCGTTAGGGTTTCTGGCGATGATGACGGTGACGGGAAGACGATGAAGGAGTTCATAGATCTCGAATTGCGGAGCAGGAAGAGCGCAGGGAGAGATTTCAGAATCATGGCGGCTAATTTTCGAGGCGCTGCTTCCGAATTCAGCAAGCGATTGCTGAAATGGAGACGGAAGCAGAATCCGAAGAGACACCGCCACAACGACGGAACCGACATTGGTTCGGTCGAAAAGCTAGGGTTTAGGTCGTTAAGGGAGACTCAGTCGGAGGTTGGAGAATACGGTTTTGCGTTGGGTAGAAGATCGTGCGACACTGATCCGAGGTTATCCGTGGACGATTCGCGGCTTTCGTTCGAAGCTCCTCGAGCTTCTTGGGATGGTTATTTGATAGGGAAAGCATACCCTAGGCCTTTCCCCATGGTTCGTGTTGGTGATAGGGTTTTGGTTGAGGAAGAAGAAGAGGGAGACGTGAGTTCGGAGAATGGTAAAGAATGTTGTCCGGGTGGTTCAGCCCAGACGAAGCATTACTATTCCGACTGGCATAGGAGAAGAAGGAGTTTCGATAGATCGAATTCTCGTAGGAAGTCGATGATGGGGGATGTTGATGAATTGAGAGTGATATCTAATGCCAAGGTTTCTCCAGCCACAACTGAGTTGTTCTATGGGGCGAAGGTGTTGATCACTGAGAACGATCTGAGGGATGTGAATTTGAAATCGTTGAGTAGTGCTCAATCTGATACTGTAATGGGGTCTGGTTCCAAGGTTAATGTTTGTGATGGTGCAATTGGGGATGGTCAACAGGGCTTGAACAAGTTTCACAAGTGGGGTAGGTTGTGGAGTAAGTTGGGGTTAGTGCAGAGGAAAAGGGAGGATAGGTTGGGAGAAGGAGATTATGGTGGAGGTGGTGATGATGTAGTTAATAAGCCAATTGCAGAGTCTTGGCAGAAGCTGAGGAGGGTGGTTAATGGTCAAGCGAGTGAGTCAGTTAGCCAGAAGCTTATTCGAAGCTATAGTGTTAGTTGTAGAGATCCTTGTAGAACTTCAGGTTTAGTCAATGGCTTTGGGGGTTCAGAGACTAAAAGCCATGTTTTGAATGGAAGGCAGAAGATTATGCTTCAGAGGAACCGGAGTGTTAGGTATTCACCAAGTAATGTTGACAGTGGCTTGCTAAGGTTCTATTTGACACCATTGAAAAGCTACAGGCGAAGCAGGTCTGGAAAGAGTAGCTTAAAGAATTCAAATCCAACAGCCAGAAGTTTCGTCTGAGGCTGTAATTGATTCAAGTGTATCTGGGTGTAAAAACATGTACAATGGAATTGTTTCTTGTTCTTGACATAAAGTACTTCACATTGTTAGAATGCATAACATTGGAAATATATGGCCTGTTAAAATCTGGTTGGTTGTAGTTGTTCTCATGATGTTGGTAGCAGAATAAAAGCATTCATACCATGATACTAATGGCATAGTAATTTCTGATTGAATCACCTCAACGAGTGAAACAGTATTACATTTGATGTTGCAAGAAGCTTTTAAATGTAGTCAAGATGTAGGTAAAGTTTTTAAAGCCTGTTCAGATAGCAGAGAGTATTAATCTTTATCCTCCAATTTGTGGTCCAACTTTGCTATTGCAATGGATGCATGAATTACAAGCACTTGTAAATCTATATAACTATTATGATCATGAGCCGAATTTCTTTATTCTATTTCAGTATGTAACAAGAGTATGAACATTTATATCATTTAAAGCATATATGTTTAATTTAATTTAAAATAAACATTAAGTTATATACTGAGATTTTTTTCTAACCCACATTTATTCCGGTACTAGAACCGTTATATTGATTGTTTGTTAATGTTCTCATAAAATGAGTATAACGACTCAACCTCGTTGAGTTATTATAATCATTTGTTAATGGCATCTCCCGTTCTAACTTTCATTTCTCCTTGAATTTATATGATGCTTGGATATTTGTTTGAAATGGGCTTAAAACTATACTTCATGACAGGGTCACCTTTTAAATCCTATTGTACCGTTGAAAGTGACTGTTTGGGATTTAGTAATCTATGGTTATTCTGGATATATTTAGTTCACCGTTCATATATTGGTGTTATGATTTGTAATATCAGGCTTTTCATTTGTCATCATTTGTGTGCGGAAAGGCTTCTAACGGATTTGTGAACTTGCTTCACATATTTCTAGTCTTCTGACAATGTTGTTGCTTGCAAGCACAATCTTTGACAATGAAAACAATATTATAGATATTCATGAATTAAACATAAACTATTTTGCACTGATAAAACATTGCATATGTAGCCATGATTTACATTAGAAGAGTTTATACTTCACGGGGATTCAAGATAAAACTATATTATTAAAAGTCTATAATATTAAATGGACAAAAACTAGCCATTGTGCATCCCCGTATAAAATAATTTATATTTGTATATATTTGAAATGAATATATTTGTCAATTTAGATATATATATAAATAGGATGTTAAAGATTAAATAGGAAATTCAGTACCTTTATTTTTTTAAATATTTTAATGTGATCCCAAAATTTTTAAAATTTTCAATTTATACATAAATATTGAAATTAATGTCAATTTTGAACTACTGTTATTTATGTTTTGACTTCGTTATATTAGATGTCTAGTTGGAGTATCGGTTCTGATGTGGTTAGGTGATTGATTATAGTTATAGAGAAGGCAAAACGGGTCAGGGTCAGCCCGCCATAATATGGCGGGGCGGGTTGGTGTTTTTAGTCCACCAACCCGCTTTGGCCCGCCCTGCCAAACCCATTAATCCGTTGGGCCAACCCGCGGACGGGATCAGCAGCCCACGACCCGCCTAATTAATAAAAAAATATTTTTTTATTATAATAAAATTAATTATAAAGATAATATATAAAGTTAACATTTTTAAAAAAGAATTAAAAAAGTTTCACTCTCACAACAAATATTCTCCTTACTTGAAACACAACCTTCTCTCTCTTGCTTTACTTGTTCTCCTTGTTCATCCTAAATATTGATTATTTTTATCCTTATGACTTGAATTAAAGATGTAAGAATTATTCAACCAAGAATAATGTGAAGTTTTATCAAATAAAAAAGATATAGGTATTTGAATTTTTCAATATAAAAAATATAAAATTTATAAGTTTTAACGTTATTTATATATATATATATATATGTATATATATTTGTTATTATTTATTATTATGTAAATTTTATTATTGTTCTAAATTATAATTTCTTAAAACAATGTATTGATTTATATTATTAAATTAAAATAATATATATATATATATATATATATATATGAATTATTGACAAACAAATAATAATCTAATTATTAAATTTATTAAAAAAAATAAATTATTTTTTTTCTAAATTATGGCAGAGTCAGCCGTCAATCCGCCCTTGGCTGGGCGGACCAAGGTCTACAGTCCGTCATGACTATAACGGGCCAGCACGCCTCGCCCCACTTTTGATGGGCCAAAGGCGGGACGGGCCAAAACGGGGTGGGCTGACCCATTTTGTCATCCCTTTATATGACAGATTTACCACGTCACATTAAACTTGCAGGAAGAAGGAATAGGGGTGACGGATGTGTTTAAGGTATGAACCCATAACAACTGATTTAGGGTGTCTTCGCTTGGCTCCTTCTTCATCTCTACTTTCTCGTCGACGATAGTCGCTTATCACTGCTCCTCTCTCGTCACCGTCGTTCTTTCATCGTTGCAATGGATCGCAAGTAGTCCCTCCCCCGTGCTCGACTTTGCTGTCATCGCAGGTTCCCCTTCCCTCGTTGTCGAAAACAACTCAATCCCTCGATGTCGTCGTCACAATCCCTAAATGAAACCAACATCTTCCTCCTTCGTCACAGTTAATTTCACACACGACGGCGATTGGAACTCTAAGTTTCCACTGTCGTCACAAATGAAATTCTTACCTCCCCTGTCGTTGTAGATCCTCTCACTTTCCCTCACTCATTTGTACAAACTCTCAATTGTTCAAACCCTAAATACATCGACGACCCTATTCTTTTCTTCCTGCAATTTTAATGTGACGTGACAAATCTGTCACGTAACTATAACCAATCATCTAATCACATCTACTTCAACTAGATATAATGGTAGTCCAAAATTGACATCAATTTTATTATTCATGTCTAAATTGAAAACTTTAAAAATTTTGGGACCATATTGAAATATTTTAATAAATAAAATGACTAAATTACCTATTTAACCGGATGTTAAATAATTTTGAACTGATAAGAAGGATCGAAGGACTTTACGGACTTCATTGACCCACTTATTAGAGGTGAGCTCAAACTGGAAAGGGAACTAGAAGACCATTACAATTATACACGAAAAGAAAATTGAAAAGGTGAGATTAACTTTTTCGTCAAATAATATATAAATATAAAAAATAAAATTAATATTATTAAAATAATAATATTAAGGAATTATGATCCTTTCGATTCCTGTCACTGCACATTAGTTAAGATTTAATAAAATTAGAGGAGAGCTTATCAATTTTAAAGAAGAGAAGTAAAGAAATACAACAATTTTAAAAATCGTGCATGAAAATACTATGACGAAATAAAATAAAGATAATTAAATATTCAGACCTTTTTAATTTTGTTTTCTTTTGAAAATTTGCTAATAAACCTTGAAAAATAACAAGAAATTTGATTATATATTTATTAATTATATATACTAAAACCACAAGAGAGGTATCAAGGCAACAATCTCACTTAAATTCGTTGCTTTCTGTGACCTCCTTTAAACAAGTCTATTCTTCCCAAATTCGCCGTGGATTGCTTGAGGTCGCTCCAATTTTAGTTGTTGTAGTGTTGAGTGGAGTTATTTACAAAAGAAAGTATATAGAAAAGGCAAGTTATGATTATAAAAGTCATGTGTTGGTATCTCAAAATATTGAACATGAGTACACATTTGATTGTCGTTTATGTCTTGTGCATTGTTAAAGTACACTTTCTTTAATATTCTGTGATGTTTTTAGTGTTAATGGACATTTTCAATTAATGATCTTCTAAAAATAGGTATATGTTTCGCTTGAGTTTCAATCTTTCGGTTAATGTTTGCGACATTGAATGGCTATCTTAAAACTTTGGATAAATTGTAAAAGGAAAAAAACATTATTAATAAAACAAATTAGAATTACCAAAGTTAATCAACTTGAGTAACACTCACGATATGTCAAATAAAACACTACAAGAAAACTATAATAAGCCTAACACAAGGGAAATTACTGGGGAAACAAGGACAACCAACCAACAAAGAAGAGCAGACTGATTATTCCTTCCCTTCTATCATTATTCAATGCTTTATCAAACACTCTCCACAGAAAAATGCTACTTATTTACAATGTAGCATGCATAAGATTCCTATCATGTATTACCACTACAGCCACACAATCAGTTCATGTATCCTGGGAATGATAGTGGCTTTCACTCACTGAAAAGCGTACAGTTATTCAACATGAAAACCCTTCTCCTTAAGTTCAGTTGTGACCTCATTCTTCAGCCTCAGCCACAGCTTCTGAGCTTCCGCATCAAAATTCTTGCTCTCCATCTCATTTGGGTTATTATTATTGTTTCCATCCATATCTTTCGGACTAACAGTGGTTCCAATCATCCCTCCCTTGCCAATAAATTCCTTCAATGCTTCTTCGTGCTCCTTCAGCCGTGGCTTCAGTTTCTTCCACCCCAGTGATGAATTCTCAGAGTAGAGCCACAGAGCCCCAAGCACGGCATAGGTGCAAAGCAAGCCCTTCCCAACATGTTTCAAAAAGTAGTAGTCTTCTCGTTCTAAACCAATATTTTTCAGGTATTTCTTGGAATGCATTGAACTCAGGAGATGAAAACCTGCATTGGAAGATAAGTATATAAACAAAATGCAATGAAACAAAAAGAAAAGTTTGAGTTTCTATTTCACACATTTCATCAAACAGCTGATGAGCAGAACATTGGTTCCACTGAAACCATTGACTGGATAGAACATAAGAAAGCTACCTGTTTTGGCGTCCCGAAAACGCTTGGGGAACATTGGAATAGTTTTTTATGAGTGTACTTGATTTGGAATGTTTTTCAGTTGATGTAAGCTTCACAGAATCAAAAGCTGACAATCTGGTTGTGGTTGACAATGTGATTTAACAATGAATCTAATACAAAACCATCACGGAACCGAACACGTCGAAATTTCGTGGTTCTAAGTGAATATTGCCAAAACACTGTTAGAATATGTATGGCACATACCGAGTAAAATTCCCTTTTGTCATACTTTGAGAAGAGAATTGTGGAACATGATCTGAAAAAAAAAAAGGGAAATTAAAAAGAGAAGGGAAAAAAATTATATTTGATGTAGATGTGTGAAAAAAATTACATTTGAGAATATCCCTTGAAAGTATAAAGTTGTATTTTATTGGTGCTATGTATTCAGACCACATTCATTAACAGATTTAGAAAATAATTATATTCTCAAGTAGTTTACAAAAAATCTAATACTCAATTAAGTTTTTCAACATGTTATTTTTAATTTAAGTTTATATTTTGTGGAAAATTATTTTAAATAATGTTTTAAAAAATAATTCACTTCATTAATGAACTAAATTCAAATTTTTAAATGAACTTAATTTTCATGTACAATTATATTGACAAACATAAAAAAATCATTTTATGGTTGACTCTTAAAATATTTATAAAAGTCAACAAACAAGTATTTTATTGCAAAAAGTTTTAATTTTGAAAAAAAAAATCTCAATCTATTGACAACAACTTATTCCATGAGTAAATTTTATTGAGTAATACAGATTGTATGACAAATCTTGCCATGCCTAATTTGAACAAAGTTTGTTTGTTTGCAACAACGAAGTAAAGTTCACGTGGCAATTTAACTTACTGATATGAAAAGTTGTGTAACATCTACCTACATTAATCGGAGCAAGCATTGGTTAACTTAGATGCCTGCATGTTAGAAGATATCTTAGAAAAGTCAAGTTCAGACATATGCTCTGAGAATGTTTACACACCACAATTTTCTTAAGCAGTGGTGATAATAACAATTTTACAGCATTTTGAAAAAGGTTCAAGATTTGACAGAGATTACAGAGTAAAAATTAAAATTGGTCATATCCAACAGCGTTGATAATTTGTAAAGAACAAGACTAGTAGTGAAGGAAAATTCCTAAGTGATGTATAATGAAACTACTTCCAATGTATAGCACTTTAACCAACTTTTCAGCGCAGAGTTCCCACTGGTCTTTTGTATGTGTACAACATGGACACTAGAAGGAATGCTATCAAGTTCAGAACACTTAGCCCTGACAGTAGCCAGAAGAAATAATCTATGTGACCAAAGTTTAGATTGTCAGGTATCCACCCTGGACTTCCATTCCCGGTACTAATCTTCGTCACAATTGTCACAAGAAGAGAGCTCAAGTACTGTCCAAGTGCGACTGTGGTGAGTGAGAGAGCAGAACAAAAACTTCTCATGGCATCAGGGGCTTGCTCATAGAAGAACTCCAACTGACCAATGAAATAGAAGACTTCTGCACATCCAATGACAAAATATTGAGGAACCTGCCAAAATATTGTCATTGGTATCTCCTCAAGTTGATAGTAGTTGTGCCTCCTCACCATTTTAAGCCTTATGAGCTCCAATATTGCTGCAGCTACCATGGAAAATATGGATATGAAGAGGCCAACTCCCATTCTCTGGAGCTGAGTTAGGCCATTTCTGTGCCCAGTGAACTTTCTTGCAACCGGCACAATGATCCTGTCATAAATTGGGACCCAAAATATGACACTAAGGGTGTCAAAGATAGAAAGGGAAGCTGGTGGGATTTTGAAACTGGAGTTGCCAACATGAGTATCCATGGTTTGCCCTTGCAACACAAATAAGGTGCTCATTTGACCGTAGACAGTGGAAAATATGATGCCAGTTGCCCATACAGGAAGTAATCTTAAAACGGATTTTAGCTCTTCCACTTGAGTTACAGTGCAAAGTCTCCAAGGGTTTTTTGATGCTCTCACTTTATCTGATTGTCCTAGGACTGCTGCTTTGTCAAAAAATCTGTTCCACACAATAAGAAAAGTGAATCAAATATAGACAAGTCAATAGGCAAATGTCTAATGACAAAACATAGATATACTTCAAGTGTTTTTTACGTTCTTTTCTAATTGGGATTGAAATTTCATCTCAGTCATCCATTTAATAAAATTTTTAACATTATAAAACAACAAAGATTACTGAAGTGAAGCTATAATTTTGATTAAAGAACAACACCAGAAATTCCATCTAAGTTTTATTTAATGTCTAACAGATTCTTAAGTCAGCCTTTTATAATTTGCAAGGGTAATATTTTCAATTTCTCACTGAGCAATTGAAAAACAAGTGACCATAATATTGTCATACTTTAATATGATTGCATGAGAAAAGGCATGAATGCGGACTAAAGATTTGCCTCTCTGTATACCATATAATGCAAGAGTGACATAAAAATGGCTTCTGATTCTAAGTAAGCTAAAAACACTAGTTGGTCGTCTAGAAATTTTGTTGCCACTGCTTAATTCACCTTAACTCATTTGTGTGATCAAGCTTTCGGCTTCCTTTTATAGCAGATTCAGTTTCATCAGTCTCATATAAAAGAGACTTGTCAGAAGGTACTTCAACATGGTACTTTCTTATGGATGCCACTACCACCTGACAGACTCTAGTGAGGGCGCTGCCTCCAGGCTTCTGATTCCTATACAATCTAGTGCCTGAAAAGAAACTCACCACAGCAATTGCCATGGCTACAGCAGGAATGCCAAAGCCCCATCCCCAACCCACATTATCTTGTATCCAGACTAACAGAGAAGAAGCAATAAGAGCACCTATGTTGATTGAGAAATAGAACCAATTGAAGAAAGAACTTTTGTGTTCCTTCTCAACCGGGTCAGTGTCATCAAACTGATCTGCTCCATAGGATGAGACACAAGGCTTAATGCCTCCAGTGCCAAGAGCAATAAGGTAAAGAGCCAGGAAGCACATTGCACTCTCTAGAGTAGTAGCACGACAATTTTCGTCTCCATGACATGTTGGTTTCATGCCAGGAACTGATGCAGACAATGTCAAGAGTGTCATTCCCTGTTGTACATTCACAAAAAAGTTAGACCAGTTTTCACACCATTGTAAATTTTTTAATGTTGATTGACTTAACAGCATAAATTCTGGAACATTTTTGTGGGGCTGTTGTGGATATCAAGAAAAGATCAATATTTTACGAGATATATCTTGAATACGACACAAAAAAGTTTAAACATAATAATAATTGCGATATTCTAATTAGTTTTGACATAAAAATTTGAAAAAAAAAAAGTAAAAAGCTATACAAATGGTCTAAAATTATTTGAAGTTTCTATGTACTGTCTAATTTGGGAGAAATTATTACATGATTAGAACCATCATATGTCTATGGTTTCAACCAATTTCTACCAAACATGTAATCAAAATTTTCAATATACAAGATAGAAACAATAAAACTTAATTATATATCATGCGGAAATTGATCTAGATCAGGATAGTCCTGGACCATGTCAATAATTTTTCCTGGTATAAACATGTATCTGACATATTTAAAACATTATTTTGAAATGCCTGTGTTTGGGGTGGAAACTTTATTTCTTCATTCTAATGGGGAACAAATAAATCTCAAAGTGGTATTTTAAGCTACAAGGGAATTCTCGACAAACACCCAGTTTCAGTGCCTCTCAATAGTCCAAATCGATATCCCTTTTTCAGTGAGAAGTGAGTAAACATAGACAGATTGAAGAGACCATACTCACAATAGCATATATTATTGAGAAGCAAGCAATTGTCCAGTATCTTCCAAGGTAGGAATCAGCCAAAAATGCTCCAATCAATGGTGTGATATAGCATGTTCCACTCCAATTAGAGACATTCTTGGAAGCAGTAGCACTGTGCTGATGTAGCCGATTCTTAAAATAAAGCACCAGGTTTGTGCTCATGCCATAATAAGCCAATCTCTCACAACATTCATTTCCTGTAAATAGAAGCTTAAATTGATAAACATTTCACACACAACACAATTCATACACATCTCATCCCACCTTGGACTTAAACAAACACCACCATTACCTAAGATAAAGGGGCAGGCTCTCCAGGTTCCAGTTTCCTTTTTAATAGCTGGATGTCCACAGTAATCTACAGTTCCATCCTTGGTGTACACATCATCCTCTGCCATTGTGGTTCAAAACTAGTTCACAGTGGCCAATTACTCACTTGCAATTGCAACCAACCAACCAGCACAGAAATTGACAAACTGAAACGGCAACAACAGAGAATAACAAATTACAAACAAAGGTCAAAATTTAACTTAGTCAAATGAAACAAACAGAAACACTTCTTTTGAGAAATCTCAGTAATATCTCAGCCACAACACTTTGCTGGTCTTTGGCTAGCGAACAAATGGTTCCAGAAACCAGATTTTGATTCTAATGTTTAGTTATCTAATTATATTCAATTCCTTTATAAATAAAGCACTCTATTCAAGAATAACAGAAAGGTTCAAGATTCAAATACACGAATCCAAAAAAGACTTTAAATTTGACGACAAACCGCTGATAAAATCTCAGAAAGATAAATCCCAGATCAGAATTCAAAAGCAAGACATGGAATCAAAGAAGTGCATCTCTAACCTTAAAGATGACAACTCAAAGCATAATCCACAATTCTATAAGTATATATATATATATATATACCCACTTGAAGTAGTGAAGATGGGCGCCTACTTCTTGGTCTAGCCGGCCATGTAACTTGCTTGATAGGGGAAATATAGGTTACACATTCTATGACACATAGTGAAAACTTATTAAAAAATTATATAATTACAATAACTATTCAGCAAATAAAAAATGAGTTTTACACAATTATAATATTAAACTAATTTTAATAATTATAAAAGAAAATGCAAAAAAAAAGAATGAAAATGTGAATTTGGGATTTACCCTCTTTCCGCTGCGAGATACATGGTTGTACATAGATTAGGCAAAATTGGACCTTAAATTCAGCAATAAACTGAAAATAAAACAAAAAAATGGTGGAAATTAGTTTTTAACTTGAACACGGAAGTCATATACACGCATAATTGTTTACAAGTGGAAATGTATACGTCTATATTTTATTTATGCATTATTAATATGGTTATCAAAATAAAATAAATTATTATTAAAATGTTATATATAAGTATTAATTATAAAATATATAAAATGTTGACTTCTGAAAAGAAGAAACTAGGCGTGGGAGTGTGAAAACGTACATTCTCTTGGATAACCGTTCCCATCATGTTTGCTTTCTCAACAGGAGAGCTTCCCGCGAAAGTGTGAAAATAAAAATAAAAAATCTTCTTTTGGATTAAGACTAAATAAACTAAAATAAAAACAAACATGATTTTTAAATATTTTTTTAAATTTAATATCTATTTTTTAATTAGACATCCACATCTTTTATAATACTCATATTTATTAATTTTTTAATAAATAGACATTCACTATCTTGTTTATATTAAATATAATAAATTATGAAAAAAAAATTAACACATAAAAATTTTTAAAATTGTAAAAAATAAAACTCGCATAATTTAATTATTATATATTAAAAACACCATAAAAATTATATTATTACTAAATTATAAATTGTCATATAAAAGTATAAAGAGCTATATTAAAAAAACATTATTTTAATATAAAATATTTTTTTATTATTAAATTATTATTATTATAATTACATATAATTTTAATATAAGTATAATTATAAATAAATACGAAAATGCATTAATAATATCAATATTTTTTGTCCTAGGATAAATTTTTCTATTTTTTTATATTATGATTACGGATGGCCTTACTAGTTTGCGGGTTTTCATAATTTATATTTGAATTATAATTAATAAATTGTCTGTAAATAAAATAAAGATGGTAAATATAGTTTATTAAGAATATAAAAAATGTAAATATTCATTAAAATATAAAACATATAAATATATTACTAAAATCATTGTAAATATAATTTTTTATAAAATACATATTTTTATATTAAAATTAAGATATATGAATATTATTTAGCATAATTAGTAGATAAGTTAAAAGACAAATGATAAGAAAACATAGGGGATAAAATAAAATAAATATAATTGAGTCTGCATGATGTGTGTGAATACGAACCACAATGGTCCATTGCTTGAAGAAAGAACATTAAAAAGGAAAGATATTATTAATTATTAGTGTGAACATATTAGTTTCAAATTTCAATTTCAACTAATAATTAATAACATGTCACTTGAAAACATTGTAATGTGATGCACTATAGTCAATCATAGTGTCAAATGAGATCAGCTATGAGAAAACAAACAAACACGAATATGATTATAATAATGCGCTATCAATGGATGACAAATAAAAAAAATATATTAATGATTAGGATGTACAAAGAAGATTTTGAATATTCTTTATTGGTTTAAATGGATTAAAATATTTTTTATTTATTGAAATCAATTAAAATAATTAATTTCGGACTGTGGTTAACGGCTACACAATTATTTTTGTAGCTAACGTTGTACTTAATGTACTGTAAGTTTTTTAAATCTTGAAATTATAATACTTGAAATATTATGTTTTCATAATATTTGAATCATCAATTTTTTTAATTTAAATATATTAGATATTATCTCTTATAATTGTTCCTGGTAATGCATGTTTAATTTATATATTCTTCCAAAACCATTTAGGTTTGGGCCTACGTTAGATTTGGGCTTGGATATGCGACTTTCATTACATATTTTGTTTGGGCTTTATGTTTAACGGAACTATAATCATAGATCAATAATATTATCCAATGAATCAATATTGAAGTTATTTACTCACTTAGATACTAATTTAAATTTTCCATCACATGCGCCAAAACAAATCTCATACTAATCATATTCCACTCACATGAAATGCTAATATGGTAGTCTCTACCAATACAAATATCAAAAATATTAAAAAATATGTTAATGATGGAAGGCAAAACCATAAAGAGAAAGTAATAAGATGTAAAATGTGAAAAAGAAAATGAATGAGAAAGCAAATTCTCAAACCTTGAAGAAGAAAGTTCTCTGATGCAATCTGCCAAGAACAGTTGTTGAAAACCATCGTTCACCAATAATATAATATACCTTTCTTTAGTTCAAATTCCCAGTATCAACCACTGTACTCATATATATCCTCGTTCAAAGCCAAAAACACCTTTAAAATCAATTAATCAACCACTTCCATTAAAATTCACCCCTGAACTGTCTAAGCTTGATAAGGTTTTAAATATATAATAGTTCAATCTGTTTACATTTGAACTTCACAGATCTCAATAAATAGCTAAGGTTTTTAAGAAAAATCATTATGGTCAACAAATCAAAACTTCCTTAATCAACTAATCCGGAATTAAACTATCATATTCATATATTCTTGTTAAGCAAATGAACTTATATCAAGTGCATATGGATCAACCGTATATATAGAATTGTTTTGACTTAATGATTTTTGAGTTCTCAGCATATCATTGTGTTATACAATCAGAGAGAAAATTTTACAGTTTATAAACATTCTAAAGAATTGTTTACGAATGATATATATCTGGTTTATACCAGAAAAACACACACACACACACACATTTTCTAAAAAACAAATGCTAAAATTTCCAATGATATATAATCAGAAGCTACGTTATGTACACTCAAGGGTTTACATATATATTCTTAATTTGTCATGCCGTAAAGTTGAAACTGTATGTCCACTTCATAAACTGGTACACATATGTTAGTTGAGGATCGTTGTACTTTACCCTATATGGGTGGACCAAACCCAGCATTTGAGTCTGACCACTTATTACAGTAGAAAGGAATAGAAAATAGACATCACCCCAGAAACTCAATGAACTAGCTTAGCTTCAAAAGGTGCTCTTGGTTGATGGATAAAGACTTCATGTAATACACAAGAAAAACAAAAAAATAACAGAAATTTCTGGATTTGGTTTCCCATTTTAATTTCGGGTTTTTTGTACTTTATAATATGGACCTTACGTCTTAACTCTTAAGTATTCCTTCTACCAACTTGTTAAAAGGGACATTACAGCAGAGAGTGGTTCTATATAAGGTTGTCCTTTCTTCTCTATCTGGCACTGCAGTCAGGAGTGAGAAGCTATTGTGATAGAGAGCTCAAAAGGGGTGGCTATGGCAGCGTTTGGGATTCGAATCGTGTTATTGCTTGCAGCTTGCTTGCTTCCACTATCAGTGGAAGCTATGGTTCGCCACTACAAGTTCAATGTAGGTGCAGTGCATTATTAAGTTATTTTCATTTTGTCATGTTACTCATGCAAAGCATAAGTCTAAAGGGTGATAAATCATATAACATTGGACAATAAGACATGAAGATAGTATATACATGCTCCAGTATCATTGATCTATTTGTCTCCATGCATGTAAAAGAAAACGTAAATTTTAAAAATTATATGATGATCAGTGTTTTTGTATTTCTTTACTTTGTTCTTCCACTCAATTGAATTTTAAATTACTAAATTCTTGTAGAATGATACGAACTGGGATTTAATAGCCAAAAGTGCAAGCTAATTATTTGAATCAGGATATAACATCTTAGAATTGCAACAAATGTTCTCATTTATAAATACATGCTAGATGTGGATGAATATAATTGCAAAACCAGTAGATGTAGTTAAGAAATTTTTGTTTGAGATTCCGTAGGCATAAGTAACTTTTTTCTATCATTGCTGTCCTTTTAATAAATTTAATTTTCTTGTTTATAAGAAAAGTAAACTGATTAAAACTTCTTTATCATCTCATCTATGAGATTAACCCAAAAATGAAACAAATGTCCATCTATATATATATATATATATATATATATATATATATATATATATATATATATATATATATATTGCAAGCTAATAATGATTCTTATTCTGATGCATGAATTTCTCTTGACAAAAAGTGTGATGACACAACTTTCTTTATTGGTCTAGTGGCCAGGTTTCATCAACTGAAGTGAAATAAACACATGGAGAGAAATTTATTGGATTTTTTGGGGGACTAATCATCGTTTCAATTAATCCAAAGATCTAATTAGCTCAATTGACATTTTTATTAAAAAATGATGACAGTTAGATCCATGGTTTAGTATCTAGTAGTTAAGACCATTACCTATAATATTTATAGTTGACACATATTTTGGTCAAGACATAAAGAGATACAATATATTTTTGGTAGTTGACTAAACCAGAAAGGTTAAGTGAAGGGAACCAAGTCATAAAATCTTTCCAGTTAGTTCAATTTAGCAGATATGACTTTGTGCCTACTATATATGCATGTCAATGTCTTTACCAAACAGCAAAGTGGTTGTGAATTTTGAAGCAAGGCAAGGTAATTAAATTTGGTAGAAGTTATAATTGCACTTTTTTTTTTCCCTATTATGATTGGCCAAGAAAGTTGTTGCAGCAAACTAACTCAACATTTCTGTATGGTGTGATCTTTAATTGGATGGTGCTCTGCATAGGTGGTTTTGAAGAATGCCACAAGATTGTGTTCAACCAAGCCCATTGTCACCATCAATGGAAAGTTCCCAGGTCCCACCATCTATGCTAGGGAAGATGACACTGTTCTGGTTAAGGTGGTCAACCATGTCAAGTACAATGTTAGCATCCACTGGTGAGGCTGCTACAGTTTCTTGATCTAATCTCTTATTATTTCTGCAATTCATTACAATATTAAAATTTAATTAGAATGTAATGCCATTTAAAAAACATTTTATGATTAGGTTGAATCAGAGGTTGATAAATTAGTTAACTCTTAAAATAAGTACTTTAAAAGCAATATTCAAGATGATTAGTTAACCGTTTAAAAATCATTATGGAAATTAAACTCTTTTTATTCTTCAACATTATTTAAATGAATTAAAATTGAACAGGCATGGGGTCAGACAATTGAGAACAGGTTGGGCCGATGGGCCAGCATACATAACACAATGCCCTATTCAACCGGGCCAGGTCTATGTCTACAACTTTACCCTTACAGGCCAGAGAGGCACACTTTGGTGGCATGCACATATCCTCTGGCTTAGGGCCACTCTCCATGGAGCCTTGGTCATCCTACCCAAGCTTGGAGTTCCTTACCCTTTTCCCAAACCAAACATGGAACAAGTTATCATACTGAGTGAGTTCTACTACTTTTGTTCTCATGCTGCTACGTATTGTATAGTCATTAGTTATAAAAATATCATAATATTGTAACAAAATAGAAACAATACAATCTTTGAATTTGGTTCAGGTGAATGGTGGAAATCAGATACTGAGGCTGTGATAAATGAAGCTTTGAAATCTGGTTTGGCACCTAATGTCTCTGATGCCCACACAATCAATGGTCTTCCAGGACCTGTCCAAGGTTGTGCTTCACAAGGTAAAGTCCAAGAACCAAACTCTAGCTGTTAGTGTAATTAGACCAAACCAATGTGACTCAAAAATTGTGATTAACAAGTTCTCCTTGAATGCTAAAGCCAAAGGAAAAATGGAAAACTAAACAAATCACATTTTATTGACACTTTATTTTTTGTTTTCAAATATTTGTATGAAAAATGTTTGAAAACCAAAAAGCAATTTCTCAACAGATACAAAATTTTCATCTAATCGAAACATGAGAGTGAGTGACCAATAACTTTCTACATTATTTTTTGCGCAGAAGGATTTAAGTTGGATGTTCAACAAGGAAATACCTACTTGCTAAGAATCATCAATGCTGCACTCAATGAAGAGCTTTTCTTTAAAATTGCTGGTCATGAACTCACTGTTGTTGAGGTTGATGCACTATACACTAAACCATTCAAAACTGATACCATTGTGATAGCACCAGGCCAGACTACAAATGTGCTTCTATCAACCAAACATGCAGCTGGAAAATACTTGGTTGCAGCCTCTACTTTCATGGATGCTCCTATTGCAGTTGACAACAAGACTGCCACTGCCACATTACACTATTCAGGCACCCTTAGTTCCACCGTCACTACCCTCACTTCCATGCCTGCTAAAAATGCCACCCCTCTTGCCAACAGTTTCACTGACTCTCTCAGAAGCCTAAACTCCAGAAAGTATCCAGCCAGAGTCCCTTTGAAGATTGACCACAACTTGCTCTTCACTGTTAGTCTTGGTATCAACCCTTGTGCTACTTGTGTGAATAATAGCAGAGTGGTAGCAGATATCAACAATGTTACCTTTGTGATGCCTAAAATATCTCTTCTCCAAGCACATTTCTTCAAAATTAAGGGAGTTTTCACTGATGATTTTCCTGGAAACCCTCCTGTATTTTATAACTTCACAGGGACACAACCATCCAATTTAAATACCATAAATGGAACAAAGCTATATAGACTTGCTTACAATTCTACAGTTCAATTAGTCCTGCAAGATACTGGAATGATAACGCCTGAGAATCATCCTATTCATCTCCATGGATTCAATTTCTTTGTAGTTGGTAGGGGACAAGGGAATTTTAACACCGGAAAAGACCCCAAGAAATTTAACCTTGTAGATCCTGTGGAGAGAAATACAGTGGGAGTCCCTGCTGGGGGTTGGACTGCTATCAGATTCAGAGCTGATAATCCAGGTAAGTCCCTGCTATAGGGTGGACTGCTATCACATTGTAGAGAGATATGGTAATTTGGATTTTACATCTTTTTCAAGAAGAAAACTTAAATCCATTTTGATTCAAGAATAACACAAACAGCACTTAAAAGAATTATATTATATCCAAGATTTTTTTTAATGTTATGAATTATATGAAAAATGGTATTGTGTTTTGTAAGTCAGAATAACACAAACAGCACTCAAAGATTTGCATCGAAGTTTTTCTATGTTATGAATTATGTGTAGTTAGGTAGAACAACACAAAGAACACTTAGAAGAACTATATCTATGTTATTTTATTTTTTTAATGTTATGAATTATATGATAAATGGTGTTATGTTTTGTTAGGTGTCTGGTTTATGCATTGTCATTTGGAAATTCATACAACGTGGGGACTGAAGATGGCTTTTGTTGTGGACAATGGTAAAGGACCAAATGAATCTTTATTACCTCCTCCAAGTGACCTCCCCAAGTGTTGAGAAAATTACTAACACTACATGCACAATGAGGAAGGGAAAACATGAAGAGAATCATAGATGCCAAAGGGAAGAACAATCAAGGCTAATAACAAGATTTTTAAAGAGTAAAGAAGGACAGAATCTTAAAGTGGAATAAGACCAAATGACCGGTTCCCGTGTATTATTTTTTTTACTTATTCATCATTTTTTTTTATTGTTTGTACTCTTATCTTTCTCTTTCTTCAGTGATATTTTTGGCTTTAATGATACAAATAAATGTCAATCAAAATTTTAATGATTCTTAGACCGTTTTGCCATGTGCTGCACCTTAAGTTGTTATTAGTATTTTAATCACAAAATAAGTCTTTAATAGGCAATATGTTAGCATGAATGACCATAGGGACGTTAAGATCTCTGCTCAGCTGGTTATTTTTCAAAATACTGTCAATATATAGAGGTAATCTTCCTATTTGAGTTACTTTTTTTTTAGTTCATTGTATTATGAAACAATATAATATGTTAAATTATAATTCTATTATCATTGAATCATTGTTTGAGTAAAATTACAAACAAATTCAAAATGTTGTGGCCCAAACATCACAAACCAAATCACTTTGTTTCTTTCTATGGGCCAAAGTTCAAAGAAGATGCAGGCTAACAGAAATTGAAGATGAGTAAATGTAGGTTAGCACAAAATTCGTCCTTTAGTCACATTTATTAAAAAGTATGTTTGACTTCAATTTTACTTTAATATGTGTACCTTTCCTCGTAATTTATAAACATGTTTTAAAAGAAAATTATAAAATTTTAAAACGAATAATATGTGATATGTGACAATGAACCCTAATAATATTATAATTACTTGAAAAATATGAGTAAAAGAATAAAATTGCTTTATTTATCTATTAATAAATAACCAAATTTATTTTGATTCATATATTAAATTCCAATAATGTTCTCTAACTTTTATCACGTCATGACACACGAACAGTAGTCTTATTATTGTAATATTTACCTACATTTGTTTAGTATATGCTTTCATGAAATTATTTCTATGAAACCATTACAATATTTAAATATTAAAAATAACTTTCAAAGTTGAATAAAATAAACAACGTTTAATAAAATGGTGGAGAGAGAAATGGTCCAAAAAGTAGATAAGAATGTGAATGGGTATAGTAAATTTGAAATGAAGGTGAGAATGTTGTTGGCTTGTAAGATTGATTCATAGTGTTGTGAAGTGTAGATTATTGGAGGCACAGTTGATAAAGAAGAGGAAGAGAAGATAAGTATTGGTTTGGCAGCGTGGAGATTAAAATTTAATTAAGCTCCCTCTTTGGCTGGATTTGCACGCGCGCACATGTGTTGATGCGCGCACACACACGCATAACCGAGACTCAGCCAAAACCAAACCCAACCCAACCCCACGATGCACACACTGTCTCACTTTTATACAAACCGCAATCAAAAGGGGAATCTTTCCATTTATGGAAACTATTTGGTTGTTAGCTCCTGCCACTGCCACAACATCCTCGTTAATTCATTTAATAATCTTCTTCTAATCAATCTGTTTCTCTCCAAAAACATTCATCATTCTTTCCAAGAGCTGCTCCACATGGCTACCAAGGACACATACATAATCATTAAAAACTTTTTTACATTATTTGTTGCTACTAAACTTTGTAATTATTGGTTTCGGAACCCGTGTCCTCCTCTCTTAATAAACTCTTATTTATTTCTATCCCTTTCTCATTACCGATTAAGTGAGACGTGAGAATATGGAAATACAAATCCAACACTAAAAAAGTGTCCCTGCCACTGAACAAGAAGATCTCTATTCAGGATCATATTTCTCGTGCTTTCTTTTATTTTATATGTTTCATAAGACCAACATCATCATTTGTACAACATTTAACAAGTTCAAGCCACAAAATTGTTTTGTTTGCTTTTGTTCCCCCGAGCACTGAATGCATGCACTCCACTCAACAATGTGAACAATACATTGCACAAAATATTAGTGACAAAACCCACACTTTCCTTACAAATTATTAATTATAATCATTATGTCAAAAACTATAATTATAATCATCTCATCCATCTAAAAAAACTAAATTAAATTAAAAATCATATTGTTCCCAATATTCACCGCACGTTATAATTATCTCTACATATTTGGTAATAACAAACTTTTTAAGTTCATGATAAATCTACTTTAATGTGTTAACTTGATAAAACATTATTTCAATTTTTATAAAACTCAATTAACTTGTCAACATTAAAAATTCGTTAATATAGATACTAGTATTAAACTTAATTACTCCTAACATTAGTAAGAAAAAAAATTCATTTTCGATCTGTTTGTTTTTATTTTTATTGACTGTGTGAGAAATCTAATATATGTATAAGAAAACAATTTATATTTATTTCGCAATTAAGTGTGAAAATCATATTTTTTTTAAAACATTATTTAGGGCTGGTGTTGATTATTTTAGTTTTTAGGATCAGTTTTAGATAAATTTTAAAAATATGTTGAGAACAAAATTATTTAGCAATTTTTTAAAACCTATTTTAATAAAATAATTATCAATTTTTTTAACTTATTTTTTAAAAACCAAAAAACCCACAAATTACTTTTAAGAGTAATAAACAAAAAGACCTTGCACTCTTTATTGACAAAAAGTTAACTTCTGCATGTAAAACTCTTGATAATTCAATAAAGCAATTTTAGAATAACTTTTTCGTAACTCAATAAAGAAGGATTTCAGAATAACTTTTAAATATTCAGATTCATCTTTCTTTATTAGATTTATTTCTCTTTATTTTTATATGAGTTTTTTACTTTCTTAAAATTACATTAGTGAACATTAAATTTGTAATAGATATTTTTATGTGCAGTTCAAAATTACAAGTAGAAAGTTGAGTTTTCAATTGTTCTAATTTACTGGTTGTGTATTTCTTATAGCTGGAACAGGGGTTATTTATTTATGTTATTTTCTTCAAATTAAAGGTGTAATTAAGTTTGTCTAAGAGATCCAAGAAGCTTCCTTGCCATGTGAGAAAATAATCTAGAATGGAAAATAACTAATAATATTTTGTAAAAAATGTCACTTTTTATTATATCTGATATATTTATTTTCTCTTCAGTAATAAATAAAAAAATTATTTTATAAAATTATTCTTATTTATTTTATAAAATAAATAATAATTTATTTTTATGTTTATAAGTTATATATATATATATATATAGTTTACTATTTTAATAAAATAATAAAATAAATAAATTTATATGTGTTTTATTTTTTATAATATAATTTTACTAATTTTTTTTATATTTTTTTAAAAAAATTCGTTCTTATGATGTATAAAATGATTTGAAAATTACATATAAATTAATAATATTCCTGAAAATGAAAAGTGAAGTTGGCAATTAATTATTTAATGGAAAGATGAAAAGGGGCATGGTAGTGACCTTAGCAAGGGACGTTGTGCCATTAATTAATAGGGACGTGTCAAGCGCGAGATTCGAGGAGGCAATTCGAAGAACCTGTGAAAACAAGCCACTCTGACGGTACATACATGTGTTTCAATTCAAACTCAAACCACTGAGTAAATAATAGTTAAATCTTCGGAAACAGGGTTTTGTACATGCAATTTTTACTATTAACTATAATTTACTTTAAATTACATAATCTTATAGGTTCTACTTTATATTACAAGTTTTGTATGATTTATAGTTTTTAATCGTGGGGTGAAAAACAGTAAAGAGCTATTAGATTAATTTATATTGAAAAAAAAAACAAAAGTTTTGCTTGTATTGGTTGAAAACATCCCATCATGATGATTCGTCCAATTTGTCAAACATTGAATCTAATATACCATCGTCTAATTGCTCCCTTTCATTATCACATTGCAGTTTGAGAAGATTTTTCGATAGATTAGGGTTAGGGTTTACTCTAAAAGATAAGTATATCTAAGTCCTTGATTTAATGTTTTCCAATCCACGGAAAGAAAATTGTCTCCAAGGAACACTCTTCAGACAATTAAGAACCTCTTTTTAATCTCTACAAATTTTTATATATGTTCTCTTCAACCAAATTAATTTGACATGACAACTTTTGCAATCAGAATTCAATTTAACGATGGGAAATTAGGTCTTTATTCTTCTCTCCTATCTTGAGTCTTCTTTTTCTTCTTGTTGATTTTGATTTATGAATCATAAAGAGGAAAAGAAGGGTTGGTGATTGAAAGGGAACATTTTTCATAGCAATCTTTTGAAAAATAATTAATTTCTTATTCTTATATGTAAAAATCATCAGTAGGAAATAAAATTACAACAACTAGCAAAATTAATCACAATTAAAATAAAAATATATTTTTTAAAATGTAGATAATATATAAATGTATAAACATTAATACTAGCATTGTTAAATTCCGTACGCAGATAAATATTTCTATATTTCTATATTGTGATAAATCTTAGTTGTTAAATTTATTATTCTAATTAACAACTTTCAATATTTCTAATTAGTGTTTTCACGAATACTTACTGAATTCGTATTTTTTTTAATTTATATTTTATTTTCAGAGTTTTATAAATTGAATGGTATATATATATATATATATATATATATATATATATATATATATATATATATGATGAGTTATATACACATAAATATAAAAAATAGAATAGAATATTTGATAAAGTTGAGAAATGATTTTTTAAAGGCAACTGTTTAATCAAATTAAATTATTGCATTTTGAAAAAATATATATATATATATATAAGATGAAGACAAAATATATATAATCTATAATCAGAGAAAAATATACAGCTCTAAAAATATCTTATTCAAGAATAATTTTATAATAGAAATACTCTTATTCAACAATATATTTACAAATACTCTAATTCAGATTGGACAGCAATAATTGGAACTTGTAATATAGAATTTAGTTACGTATTTTATACAATTACAAGTTTGTGATGTAAAAAAGTATGCAATTATTCTCATCCATCA